ATTGCTATCATGGTGTACCTTTGAAAGTTGTATTAGATTTTAACAAAAATCTGTTTCATACAACATGTTTATGTCTCCCAAATTATTATGGTTCACATTGTCAATATCAAAATCAACGAGTTAGTTTTACAATGAAACTTCAAACATTTTCTGATTCATGGCAAACACAATTTCTTCTCATTGTTTCACTTATTGACAATACAGATGAACGAATTATTCATTCATATGAACAAATAACTTATTTTCCAATGCAAAATTGTCAAACATCACTTGATATCTATTTAGTTTATTCAAATCGACCAAAAAATGAATCCAAACAATATACAATACATATTGATATTTATGAAAAATTATCATTAAACTATCGAGGAAGTTTCTTTATTCACATACCATTTCTATTTCTACCTGTACAACGTATTGCCAGTCTATTAAATATTCCAAATAAAGGTTATCCAATGAAAAATTGTTTTATTGATGGATGTTTACATGGTGAATGTATTCGATATTTTGAAGATATAAATAATAGAACATTTTGTAAGTGTTTTAAAGGATGGACTGGTCGACTTTGTACAATTGAATATGAATGTAATTGTTCATCGGATGCATTATGTCATGGTATATCAGCAAATCAACGTTCAATTTGTATTTGTCCAATAGATAAATGGGGTCCTCAATGTTTGATTTCTGATGAAATATGTCATTTAAATAATCCATGTCGAAATAATGGTACTTGTATACCTTATGATCAACATATTTCACCTGGAAATACATTTGAATGTATTTGTTCAAAAGAATTTTATGGCAAACTATGTGAATATTCATCTTTTAAAATGATTTTATCATTTTCAAATGATATTGATATACCTGAAACAATGTTAGTTCATTTTATTGAAGTGAAACATAGACAAGAACCAGAGAAAGGTACTACTTTTAAAAAAATTCCAATCACTCGAGATCCAGTAACTATCTATTGGGCAAAAACTGTTCATATAAGTTTTGTTGAATTATCTGTCAATCAATATTATTTGATTCATCTTGATGAAAATCATAATAAATCGAATATTATTGAAAAACAAATTAAATCATCTGATTATTGTCCACATATTCGTCAAGTATTTAATGAATCATTTGCTAAACTTCATCTTATTCGTCGTATTAAATTTTATTATTTCATATGTCAAAATCATTCCAAAGAACTTTCATGTTTTTATGATGATATTTATATTTGTTTTTGTGTTCAATTCAATAATCAACGACAAACAAATTGTTTAGAATTTAATCATACATTAAAACGTGATTGTTCTGGTCGAAGTATATGTGAAAATGGTGGTCAATGTTTGCAAGATAGTTCAACGTGTCCACAAACATCGATCTGCGTTTGTCCATCATGTTTCTATGGATCACGATGTGAATTTCCTTCAGATGGACATAGTCTTTCACTTGATGCTATTCTTGGTTATCATATTCAACCATTTGTTTCTATAATACAACAACCAATTATTGTTCAAATAAGTTTTGCTTTAGTTATGATTATTACTCTCATAGGAACTATTAACGGCATTTGTTCTATCTTAACATTTATACAAAAAGATTTAAAAAAAACTGGTTGTGGAATTTATCTTCTTGGTTCATCAATAACAACATTATTTAATACAAGTATATTTCTAATTAAATTTCTTATACTTATTATAGCACAAACTACATATGTAACAAATATTTTATTTTTACAAATTCAATGTCGAAGTATTGATTATTTAATACGCGTTGGTCTTAATTTGGATCAATGGTTAAATGCATGTGTAGCTATCGAACGTGCTATGACAGTCGTAAAAGGAGTTTCTTTTAATAAAAAGAAAAGCGTCAAAATTGCTAAATATGTTATCGTTATTCTTATTATTGTAATTATCAGTTCAAATACTGTTGATCCAATTTATCGACGTCTTGTTATAATTGATAATAATGATGAAAAACGAATTTGGTGTGTTCTTCATTATTCATCAATTATTCAAAAATTCAATATAACAATGAATATTATTCATTTTTGTTTACCTTTTATCATTAATCTTATATCAGCATCAGTTATTATTATCAATAGTGCTCGTTTAAAATCATCTCTACAAAAGAAAAAATCATATAAAGAACATTTAGTTGAACAATTTCAACAACATCGTCATCTTTTGATTTCATCATTTTTATTATTTATTTTAGGTGTACCACGTTTAGTTATTCTATTTTCAAGAGGTTGTATGAAGACAAATGCTGATTCTTGGTGGTTTCTTATGGGATATTTTATTTCTTTTTTCCCACCGATGCTTAATTTTATTATATTTGTTATGCCATCAGAAGTATATGTAAAACATTTTCGCACAACTATTAAGACGTATCGTGATGCTATAAAACGACGTTTAAATTAGACTTTGCAAAATAAAACGATAATTCTTTTTAAAAAAAATAATTTATTTATTTGCTTTTCAGATATGATATTCATCTGGGTTTTACTTTTATTTTCTGGTATATTTCCAAGTATTCAAACTCTATCATGTATCAACTTTGAATATGAAGAACCTGCATCTATCGATACATTTGATCGAAATGCCTTAAAGGAGAAACTTGATCGTTTTGAAATGGATGCAAGTCTTTCTGCATGTCGTGTGGAGATGGTATTTGTTTATTCTACGGGATTACTAACACTCAAGTTTAGTAAATTGATTCCAAAGACAACCATCTCAGTTGGTATTGTTACGTTTCGTACCTTAGTAAGATATATCAATAAAGATGACACAACGACTATACATGTTTTAACATCTGCATGTTCAAACTCTGACGGTTGTGATAAACAATTTATACTGGACCATGTTGACTGGTTCATTCGAATGAAGTATGATGCCTTCTTCAAAATTAGTTTTCAACTGCTTGTAGGTGAAGATGATAAGATACGTAAGTCTCGCCCAAATACCTCATCAATGTCGCGCATACTTCAGTATGAAATAATTTTTGCACAACACATATGGAGTAAAATCTCCTCAAAAAATTGATTGAACGGCTAGCGCAGCGAAAACCATTGTCCCGCACATCTCGGATTTCGATGCAGAATATTAATCCTTTTGAGTACGACCTACCATATTGATTTTGATCTTTCATTCCTATACAATATTCTTAGAACATATTAGATTCTTTTGCTCATACTCATGTTTAATACTTTTCAGAGCGATGCAGTCTTCCCGGATGCCCTAATAGATTTTGCGGTGTTGGGTGGACACACAAAGAAACCGATATTGTACAAGGCTGTAGTGAACTAGCAAGAGCTCAATTTCAGGCTCGGAATGATTTTAATATCAATACTCGTGAAGAAACTGAATCTTTTGCCTTTTTTTGTGGTTATGATCAGTGCAACAGCTTAGATGTTGTATCAAAATTGCAAGCGAATGTCAAAGAAAACTACAATATTTTACCAGTGCGCAAAGCTCTAGGGTTTGACAACGAACCGGATAACTCTATGACAACTACAAGCTCGACACTCAATATTACATTTTTTCAATATTTGATTGAAAATATGTCAAACGTGTCCGCACCTTCTTTGGAAGATACAACTGTAACACATTTATCTATGATAACCAATTCATCAGCAATGACGAAGTCAGCTTCTACATTTGTTACAACAAAAACTAACGGCTGTACCACATGGCAATTTCAGAAAACAAATATTATAATGAGTTTAAATGCAATGATAATCTTATTAATCATTTATTAAAGGCTTGGTTTTACAAATTCTAATCAAAATAAATTTATTTAATACATGTCTGCTTCTTTCAGCTGTGAACTAAAATAAAATATGGATGGTTAACAATCGTTGCCTATGCTTATTGTAATAATATTTGCGTAATCATATCCACTCTTTCTTTCTTTCTTCTCTGCTTTTGTATTTTTGAGCACAAATATACTCCGATCAAATAAATTAATGCATTGAACCTAAGGGTGTGAGTGTCAATGAACAGAAGACTATGTTACACCCACACCCAT